GAAAGCATGAAATCCAGTTACATAAGGCAGTATATATTGCAAAGTCATACTTTTTTTTCTTTTTTTTTTGAGACAGAGTCTTTCACTGTGTTGTCCAGGCTAGAGTGAGCTGCCATGCGTGCTCAAGGCCTAGCTCAGGCAACCTCAATCTCCTGCGGCTCAAGCAATCCTCCTGCCTTAGCTGCCGAGTAGCTGCGGAACTTACAGGTATGCACCACTGTGCCAGCTAATTTTTTCTTAATTATTAGTTGGCAGTTAATTTCTTATCTAATTTCTAGTAGAGACGGTCTCGTCTGCTCGGCTGCGTTTCGAAACTCCTTGACCTCGAGCAAATCTGCGTCCGCCTCAAGCCTCCCGAGTTGCTGCTAGATGTACAGGCGTGAAGGCCACCGCGCCCAGGCCCTAGTGTTTATATCGCTAATTTCTTTGACAAGGCAACCTATGTAATTTTAAGCAGATAACAAGTAAGATGTATTATTTGTGAGCTTTAAGAATATATAGTTGTAATAATACATAAGAGTAAACAGGAAAACCAAGACAGGAAGTAGCCTTTCTTATATGTGAAAGTGGTGATTGATATTACATACTAGTTGTACTCTGATTAGTAAAGGCATTTATTTTCCTCAGATGACAAACTGCGTGTATGATGTGTTGGTCCATTAAAATTATAAATTTAATTGCTTCACTAAAGTGCTTAGCCTTGTTTATAAAGTGGCCACGAGTAAATGTTTCTAGACCTTCACATTCCCTCACCACTTCACTCATAACTCCAGAGTACTTCCAGTTCTGTAGTTCATATAGGCTTAATGTCCTATACACATGGTCATTTTTTTATCTTTCATTACCATAATTTTTTTACTGTACCTTTTCTCGTATTGTTAGATATACAGAAACACTTAGCCTTTGTGTTCCAATTACTCGTATTCAGTGCTGCTGCAGGTTTGCCTAATAAGCAACAATAAGCCATCCATATAAAGCATAGTGTACAGTAAAAGCTTGCATTGCACCATTTGTATTAAGATCATACTATATAATGTATTAGTTCACATTACATTTGACAAAACTCAACCTAAACGAACACTTTCTCAGAATTGTTTTCTTCCTCTCCTCCTCCTCAGTCTATTTGACATGAAGCATATAATGAAGAACCTTATGATGATTGACTTGGGCGCCTTAATGATAGTAAATACATTTTTCTCTTCCTTATGATTTTTTCAGTAACATAATTTTCTGTTTATTAGTTTTTTTCTTATTTTCTTTTTTTTTTTTTTTTTAGACAGAATCTCACTCTGTTGCCCAGGGTACAATGCCATGGCGTCAGCCTAGCTCACAGCAACCTCAAACTCCTGGGCTCAAGCAATCCTCCTGCTTCAGCCTCCCAAGTAGCTGGGACTACAGGCATGTGCCACCATGCCCCGCTAATGTCTTCTGTATATATTTTTAGTTGTCCAGATAATTTGTTTTCTATTTTTAGTAGAGACAGTGTCTCACTCTTGCTCAGGGTGGTCTTGAATTCCCGACCTTGAGCAATCCTCCTGCCCCAGCCTCCCAGAGTACTAGGATTACAGGCGTGAGCCACTGTGCCCAGCCCTTTAGCTTACTTTATTGTAAGAATACAGTTTATAACACATATAACCTACAAATTATGTCTTAATCAACTGTGTATGTTATCACTAAGGTTTCTGGTCAACAGTAGGCTACTAGTAATTAAATTTTGAGAAAGTCAAAAGATATATGCAGAGTTTTGAATGTGCAGAAGTGGGTGTCCCTGGTCCTCACATTGTTCAAAGGTCAACTGTACTTGATCTGATAAACATTTGTAGTACACTGCTGCCAACAACTGAAGAACATATGTCCTTCTTAAGTACTCATGGAAGCTGGGCCATAAAATGAGTCTTAATACATTTTTTTAAAAAAACACATACAGTATATTCTTTGGTCTTGCAAGAATTATATTCAAAAGAGAGAAAAGGATACTAGAAAATCTCCCATATTTTTGGAAATTTAAAATGACAGTAAGTAACACATGGCTTAAAGAAAAATCATGAGGGAATTAGAAAATATTTTTAATTTAAAAATAATAGAAGTACAATTTGTGGAGCCAATCCTACTTCCATCCTTTGCTTCCCAGATCCAAATATTCTGATTACAGTCCAAATATTTAATGGGAGAAATCGGTCATTGTCTGTCCAAAACATACGCCTACCACATCCTGTAAAATGGTATCCCGACCTCTCAAGACATTGTGTCTCAGGTAGTCCTTAAAATGAATCTCTGGTGGGCCACGCCAGCTATGTGTAAGGCAGCCACTTTTAGATCAGTGTTTCTCAAAGTTCTTTTCATCATCCCACACCCTCTCTCCCAAGGAAACTTTTAAAATCATTTTTTCTTAACCATTGAAAAATTTTTTCCTAACCATTTTTTTCTGCCTCCTAGAACCAATTTTTTTTTTTTGCCTTTTTGGGGAGCAGTATCACTCCTGTTGAGGCTATAGATGATGTGGTGAAGAGTAATACTCTAGAGTATTACTAGAGTAATACTCTAGAGTATTACTAGAGTAATACTCTAGAGTAATACTAGAGTAATACTATTTCCATCGGCCTGAGCTCCTTGCTACACTTCTTTTGCCATAACATGTGTGTCCCTTGGTCAGAAGGATATTGTACATCCTATAAGATAACAGTGTGCGAAATGAGTCATTCTGTAAGTGCATAGATGGTGCTGCTGGCAGGAGCACTGAGGACAGAAAAGGCAGAATAAATGTCTATTTCAGTAAGAGCCAATTGCTGCATGGGGTCCAGCATGGAACACGTCGACAACCACTCAAGAAATTAACGTCACCGTCTTAGTTTTAGCCTTTATAACAGGTCTAGGGAAAAAAATATGTTGAGTGGATGTCAGCTGGTCTCTTTTCTCAATTAACCCACCATTTTCTCAATGGGCAGGACGAATGGCTTCTTTACTCTACACAAAGTGGTTTTGGTGGCAGGTAAGGAGGTTATACACAGATTCAATAACAGGGCACGCTTGAAGCTCTTACTCGAGGGGGGAGGGGGGCATGGGCAATATATGTAACCTTAACACTTGTACCCCCATAATACGCTAAAATAAAAATAAATAAATAAAAAAATAAAAAGTAAAAAAAAAAAATAACAGGGACTAATGCTAATCTGGCTTCCACCACTGCCAAACACCCAACCAACAATAGCAAAGGCCCCTGTCAAACCCCTGGGAGAGAACTATTCTCTCAGAGGTCAGTAATCCACCTGGTAGAAGGTTGATTTCTGTGGACCCACCCAATGACCAATTGTACTCTATTCCTACTGTCTACCCTTGCCCTACATAAAAAGGTCGGATCTTCTTGTTTGATGTCTATCTTGAGACCAATAAACTCATTTTTTTTTTTCAGACACAGGGTCTTGTTCTGTGCCCAGGCTGGAATGTAGTGGCCCAATCGTGGCTCACTGCAACCTTGAACTTCTGGGCTCAAGTGATCCTCCTGCCTCAGTCGCCCATGTAGCTGGACTATAGGTGCAGGCCACCTTGCTGGCTAATTTTTTCTCTTTTACTTTTCTTTTCTTTCTTTCTTTTTTTTTTTTTTTAGAGATGGAGGTCTCCTATGTTGGCCAGGTTGTTGTCAAATTCCCGGCCTCAAGCTATCCTCCTGGCTCAGCCTCCTAATGCCCTGAGATTACATGAGTGCCACTGTCCTGGCTCAATCAACTCTTGATTATCTTTCAATCTAATTTTTATTGCACTGTTTATCATGAAAAAATTCCCAAACATTGATACTGATTTTTTAAATTCATGCCCAGAAACCCCCACTCTTGTGAAGGAAAGAAATAACTTTCACTCTATCTGTATAAAAGAAAGAACAAAGAGCTTGTTTTCTTATATTTTCAAAAGCCCAGAAAACTGGACAATACCATTTATAAATGAATTCAATCATCCTGCTTTTTTAATTGTTCATATCATCAAGAATTTAACTGTATATCCAAAATAATAAGTTTTCAAGCAAAAATATAGTCTATGACTTGTAATTATCCTTCCTTTAGGTTTAGGTTTAGAATTCTTGAGTAATTAATGCCTTTGGATTCTTAATATCTGTTTCTGAATGCTTACATTGAAACAATAGAACAGCAGGACTTGGAAAATTCTAGATTTTTTTTTGACTTAATGATAGTTGGTGACAACAAGTTAAATCTGTTTTCCTCATATGGTCTGAGAATAGGTTAGGGTAACCCACATTTATACTACAGCTCTGACTTTTTCTTCCCTCAAATGAATCAGCTAAACACCATGTAGATTTTCCATTTGGTAATAAAATGTCCCTTCCTAAAATAGCTGTAGCCCAAAAAGCTTATTGTGTTAGAATGAAGTCAGAGAATTAATAAGGAGATCTGTACAAAGTACCTTGATCAATTTCTGAGAAGAAATATATGATAAAGAACAGACCAAGGTCACTTTTTCTGATGTCACTCCCTCTGAGAAAGTATCTGGCAGAACGAGGCCACTAGAGCCCAAGGGAAATGGGAGTTTGAAGCAATTATCTAAATAATTCAGATAAGAAGGCACACTTGGGCTTTTCAAAGTCACCCATATGAGCAGAAGAGGAATCTAAATGTTCCGCATCTCGTTTGGAATGTATTAACTCTGGGACATATATGCTGATATTGACTCATTACAAAAAGGAAAAATTTTATCACTAGAGAAAGTGGGCTTGTCTGTATTAATGATATTACATAAATGCTCAATTTTCTTTCTACTTTGTCCAACAAACATTGCCTTTTACTTGCATAAGAGGTACCAATAGTGTTCTCACATTCTATTCATAGCAATTATAATTCAATATTTCTAGAATAAGTTTTTCATTAGGTAGCATGACTTTTCATCTGTGAGAAAACAATATCAGTGTAGCTGGTATGGATACAAAATAGAGCAGGAATAGAACAGGAAAAGAGCCTTACCCGTTCAATTGTGGCAAATAAAAAGACTTCACATGCTATTAAAAAAAAATCATTTTATTCACAGGGTATGTTTCCAAGTTTTCTCCAAGTAAAGGAGGTAGAGAAATTGAGACTTACTGAACTTTCTCACTGCCAGCCATAATTACAATGAACACACCAAAGAAAAAGACATGTTTTTACAGCAAACCTCCTCTCGTGACACTGCATTTAGGTTATGTGGAAAGAAACAACTCAGTAGAACCAACAGAGATAGATACTATTTTTCAAGTCACACAATAAAAAGTACCAATTAAACTTTTTTTTTTGTTACCTGCAACATTTTATATGAAACTCTAAAAAAAAGGAAATGAAGACCATTGATTTCCCCCGTGTTTTCTGCCCATGAAGTTTGGCTTTAATAGAAAGAAGCAATTCCATATACACTTCGAAGGTGATTTCAATTTTATAGACTAATCTATATTCTTTTCCAGAATTATTATATCCATGAACTTGATAGTCAGACTACATTATATGAGAAAAAAAAGAATATTTGAATTTTTCTGTTTTCTCCTTACCTCCAGCCTCTGAAAATTGGCTCCAGAGAAAACAGTTTGCACACAGGTAGCATAGTATATAATGTGCAATAATAGAATTAAAGAGACCAAAGAGAAACATTTTCTTCCCCCAACACTTCTCAAACCAACTATACTGAATAGTAACTAGCTAGAGCTCTAGTAATATCTTAGACTCTTAAAAGATTAAGCAGGCTTTTCAATGGAACTATGTTTGCCTTTTCTCTTCCCTTCTCTCTAAAGTCTCTGACTATGATGTACCCTAGTAGCCATCAATCATCCTAAATTATAAATCTCATATATTATGAGGGGGGTGTCTATAGTAACATAACAGAAAGAAAGCCCATGGGATTGGCGCTTAAGACTGAATGAAAAACAGCAACCAACTGATTCCTTGCTTCCCATGAATACCATAATTTGCTAGAGAAACAAACATTCAATCTATGAATCCTCCTGGGGCTACCACCTAAGGAGCTTCCTACCAAAAGGCTGTACTACATCAACAAAGGATATTTACATCCTATTATCAGACTTCTCCAAGGCCTATGTACTATTGTGCGTTTCTATAAAATAGTCACGTTTGCTACATTTATAAGAGTTCTTTGCTGATGATAAAGAAAGATACAACTTGAAACAGACATGGTTACATCTCTAAAGGGACAGAGGTGCATGACAGAAACACATAAGTGGGGGGCACACCAGAAAAAGTTAAGGCATCCTCTGTCACTCCCCAGCCCCCCACACCCAATCCACCATCTCCCTCTTTTCCACTGGCATAAATAAGGTAAGGTGTGTATGTGTGTGTGTGTACACTAGAACATGGGAGAAAATGAGACTATGCCTACTTAAGTAATAATGTGTACAAAAGGATTTTACTGAAGTAATTGTAGGAACAGGGGACTACAGCTTTCTAACTCCGGCTATGTGTAGATGGGGTGACCATGTTGCAAAGGTGACACGTTCTTCTGTCACTGCATCATCATGACAGGAGATCTAGATAGTGATCTTACTTTGGGAATGTGGGTCAAAGTGCAGGTGAAAGAAGGACATGAAAATGGGAGTGTTTGCTTCACCCAGCTCAAACACCCAGGAAACCACCTCCTGGGGAGGGGAAGGAAAGAGTGGGGCCTTAAGACCGTCAAGGTCCAAGTGGATAAACAGGTGCCACTCTTCTATTCTCTTCCTAAGTGTCTCACCATCTGGCTCGCCCACTGCTTCCTCTAGCATCTTTTCATCATTGACCATAACAACTGGATGACAAGGTATTTCCTTTAAAATATTTTGAAAAGGTTCCATTCTTGGGACTGCACTCAAGGTCAACAGCCTCTTCCTTGCTCTCTGCTGAACTGCCTTCTGGGCTCATTTCCGATGGTCCCTTCAAATGAAAACCAGGATTTTACCTCTTTTTGTCATTTCGGTTAAACCCTTTTTTATTATAATTTTTGGTTTCTCTTACTGTGCAGAGAAAAAAATAGACATTATCTGATTCCTGGTTTTCTCTGTCTTGGATTAAATTACATCTCTTAGATGCTTACTGGTATTGTGCGAAGCATAGGGTTTTAAAATAAATATCTAAAGAAAGTCTAATTACATAAAAGCAGAGAAAAAAACAGGATCAATATATTTGGATGTTATTCTATAAAAGTTCCAGACAGGTTTGCATCATTGATTATATCCCACAGCTTTAACAGGAAAACAGAATCAGAAAGGATCTTAGCACAATATAGAGATCAATAGGAACACAGACTAGTGACCATACAATATAATTCCTCTTTTGAGCTTTAAAAAGTTATAGTGATGGGCTTTGGCTACCATGCAAATGTTCACAGGTCTCATAAGTCAATTTATAACATTATATTTGTTCCTTATGTGTTAGAGAGAGAGAAGAAATCAGAAATGCTGGCACCACAAAGAAGAGAATGAGAAGAAGGAAACAGAAGCATGTATTTTTTTTCCTTACTGAAAGGATGAGCAGAGGTCGTGTTATGTTTGCATAAGCTTTCCATTCATGCACTTGTTTCAATCTCTCACCTCTAGGATGTATGTAAAAAAATTCAAAAGACAAGCCTCGGCGGAGGAGAAAGCAGATGGTACCCATTTTTTTTTTTTATGATAGGAAGAAAAAAAAAGCTACAGCAATTATAGATATAAGTCTCCTCCCACTTACAAAATAGACATTTTATAGTGCTCAACCTAAATATTGTGGCCTCATACTTAGGAGTTTATAAACAGACACTGGGCTTCAGAGTTCCTGTGAGTTAGTCTCCAGGGCTTTCAAAGAAGCTCTGTAGGAACTGGTGGAATATTTGCTGGTCTCCTTAGCTTCAAAGACTCAAAAAAAAAAAAAAATCCATCTGAATGGGAAAAAAGCTCCACTTTTCATAATCACCATCAGTGCCATAACTAGGTCAGGGTGACTCGGTCTCAGGACACACCTACATTTAGAGAACACATGCTTAAGCAAAAACAAAGCAATTTAAGGCAGTGTGAAATTTTGAGCTTCTCAGCAAATTTCCACACCACCTCTCTAGTCACAATGCTACCAGCTCAACCCCACAGCCAAGTCGGCTCCCCTGGGGGAGGACAGAGATGGGTGGTCAAGGGTATAGACCTCTCTGACGTTTTCTATGCTTGGGGCAAGGGGCCATCTCCTCCTTTCCACTTGCCCCACCGTCTCCCTAGCACACAGTGGAATGAAGTTGCCAAAATCGCTAGCCACGTTTACTTCTATTATAGCCTTGACCTGGAGCGCAGGGCCCTTGAAACTGTCAACCCACTTCCACCCCTGGTGTTTGCCCACCCAAAGTCATGTAATCTGAGAACTGACCTCTATGCTAAGAAGATAAAGAAATAAAGAGCACAGTACTACTCTGAGTCCTCAAGTTCACACAAAAATCCTTACAGCTCTTGACCTTTGGAATTCTACAAACATAGAGCAGATATGATTACCTGGTTCCGGCGGGAAAGTATTTACACGACAAAATAATCATTTCCTAAAGTTTTCCATGGACTGGTGACATTTTTTCCCCTTAGATCCCTCCTAACAAGGATTTGTCAGTTAAAATTTTCACAAAGTCAGTATTTTGCAAACATAGAAATTAAAACTTTAGATGGCTGACTTTCTAAACAAAGAAATAGGAGGTTGTATATATTAAGTTATAAAACTACAATAGCTGCTGACAAGAATAAACATTATTGATATTTCCATTTTGGATCATCTGTGTAAAGCTTTTGACTAATCTGGGAATATTTTGGTAATATTTTGGTAAATTTAAAATCCAAGGATTTCTTCAGTTATTTTCCATTTTTAGTCACGCTGTCCAGACTGCTTCAGGTACAAGTTATATTTAGCCTAAACAAATTGTTAGCCACAAGAAGGGCATGAGACGTCACAAAGGCAAACATGGTATTGTCTGAACATCTGCCACTTTGGATAATTTACTTTCTACTTTTGTTAAGATAGCTAAAAGTGAACTGCACAGAAACAAAATCCAGTGAGCACTTCCTTAACTTTTTATGTGAGATTTTTTCAGTTTAGCTGAACAATGCTGTATAAACCTTTGATAAAATACTCTATTTAAAGCATATGTATGTAGGAGTCCTCTTCCACATCAAAATTTTTTCATATAACACACTATTTTTCTTTCTTATGGAATGACTTCATCCTTCAGCAATCTTAATTTTCCTGAGGTGTGATTAAAATTAAACAGAGGTCACCCTCATTCATGCTCTTTAGCATCAGTGCCATTCTCAAGTTGGGGCTATAGAAATTAAAAGTCCTATCGAGATGCTCATTTCAGTCTCTCCATCTTTCCTTCTGCCCCCAAGGAGCAACCTAATTTTTGTCACTGAAAAACAATTTTAAAAATTAGTCCGATGGTAGAAAGTGACGCTTTCTCTTGGCAGATGCACCAAAAGTGATTAAATATTTTCTTATTGAATGTGTCTGTCCTAGCCTGAATGTCTTCTGAGCTGAACCTTAAGGGTTCGGCTTAGTAATATTAAAATGTCATTGGCCAAATTCAGCAAAGTACCAGGCCCAATTTCGAAGGTCTTAATTTCAGACAAACAAGATAAAATGATGAGAGTTTAGAATTCAACCTCTTAATAATAATAGAGAATTACAGAGTACTCTGCAGGAGAGCCCTAGAGAAGTCCTTACTTAGGAACACGCAGAAATAAGGATAGAGATGCTACACACATACACACACAGGATGTTTCTTGTTTAGAAACATCTATCTACCCAACCATGGAAAAAAGCATATGTAGGGCATACTTATGAGTTGTCACTATTAAGTAATGCCAAGTTGCAATCTACCCTAGATTTTCATTAAATCGTAGTCATACTCTGAATGGTGTGAACATGTGTGTGTCTCCTTAAGTGAAGACAATGTGGAACAATCGAAATTCCCCTTTGGTCTAATCCAGGGTTTTCCAACCTTGGCACTATTGACGTTTTAGATTAGCTAGTTATTTGTGAGACCTAGGACCTTGACAGTCTCCAGACACCCTTTCCTTCCCTTCCCCAAGGGGTGGTTTCATGGGTGTTCGAATCGGGTGAAGGAAACACTCTCATTTTCATATCCCTCTTTCACCTGCACTTTGGCACACGCTCCCAAAATAAGAGAGACTGACCTGTGCATTGTAGGACAATCAGCAGGATCCCTAACCTCTACTCATTACATGCCAACAGCACCCTTGAGCCGGGAAAATGAAAAACATCTCCAGACATTGCCAAATGACACCAGAGAGGGGAGAGGAACCACCCTAGCTGAGGAGCACAGGTCTAATCAAACGTTACCAGTATCAGCCATTTCTGTTGTGCTTTTCAGAAGCCACATGGGATAGTTTTACAAATTTATAGCCTAAACATTATGGAGATGTCTACTGTATGAATTTATCCCAGAAAACGTAACAAGATGCAAAATTTCCACATAGTATTTTCAATGGAACTGTGATGTATGGGCTTTATGGAGCTCATGAATTACATTTTAATAATTTTAGCAATCAAAGCACTAATATGAGTGACACATAGTTTGCTCACTTTTGCATGTGTTTTTTGTTAGCCCTTTATACATTTTAATGGTATACTGGGAAAAATGTATTCCTTTTTTAGGTAACTACTAAATAATAACAATAGCTCAAAAGAGGAAATATATTCAGGGTTACACATAAAGTGAATATTTAATACAGCTCACCCGCAGGGCATTCTCATTACCTTTTTATTGTCATACAGGATCAAAACTGCAAACCAGTTCTGCCTAGAATTGATATTCTCAAGTTCTTAACTTTCTAAGTATCAGTATAAGCTGCATTATGTCAACCAGTCATATTGTAACTGCTATCTTCTCTAATAGCCTCAATATTCAATTGCATTTACAAATTGCCTATATCTCCAATGATATAGAATTTTTCTAAGGGCTTTGTTATCTTGAAGTCATGTAAGTTCACCCACCAAAAAATGTCACCTGTCTTAATTTATATGCTATACTAAGTTTCTCCCTTTAAAATTGAAGTAGAATTTTTGGGACAGTTTTATCAACATTTTGGTGACATTTAAAAGAATAAAGATAGTGAGTTCCAGTGTCTCCTTTTAGCTTATGACCTCCCAAAGCACAAAGACAAGGAGAGGCTTTGTCTACGTTTCTCTTATATGAAAACACATTTGGCTGCTTCTGTCTATAGAGTTTTCTTGCTGTGTGTCTAAGCCAGTGAAACAAGATGTCTAAGCAGTCCTAACTGCTACCAAGGAAATAAATAGCTACTAATCCATAACCCCTTACTTGTACAAACGATGCCTTTTGTGACCATGTTCAACCCTGGGCCCATTCATGAAATTCTGGGGAAAGTCAGAATGAGTAAAAACAATGCTGCTCATTCTGGGCAATTACTGGGGATAAGACTTGCATCTCATGCTTGTATGGGCATCATGCACAGCAACCAGGAAATTGGCTTATTTTATTTCAGCATGTAGTGGACAGGACATAACACATTTGCAGCTCACCAACATTCATTAAAATTTTACCATAACACGTTGTATGAGTTCAGCTTTCATAGTTGTGCAGGAATGAGTTTTGTTTAACTTTGTGTGTGTGTGTGTGTAAGTGTGGGTGTGTACATGTATACATGTATTCTTGCATGTGTGCAGACATATGCTTTATCTTGGAGTGAAGATACCATGGTGGATAGAAAAGGGATTCGCCTTCTGGTCTGTCTTCCACAGAGACTAAGCTTTTCATCATTGTGCTTTACTTCATTTCTGAACATTAAATTATGAAGACAATTATGGCAATTTACAAATAAATAATGCACTCCCATTTGTAGTCTTTTTGCACTAAAATAACAATGACAATGCAAACAGGCTTACACAATGCAGACCTAAAACTGGGTTTATGTCCTAAATTCTGAGACGGAAAGTGGCTCATGTTATCCAGACTATGAATCAACACAGTCTAAATTCAACAATGCTTCACATTGTCTAAGTAGACTCGACAAAAGAGGAAGAAGCAATTCTTATTTAAAATTTAAAAAATAGAGGGAAACTATAGTTAATATAGACATGGTTCAACAAATCACAATAATCAGCTGTAGCATTACTCAGTAAGAGATTTTTTTTAATCTACCCCATCACCCACCCACTGCCCCTAAATAGGGCAAAAATAAATAATAATTTTTTTAAAAACCTATTGTTCTAATGCCAGTCTTAATAAGACAAGTTACTATCAGTATTATTATTATTATTATTATTATTAAGCCAGTTTGTGTTGATAATCAGCAACACTTTTGCCCCGGCATTTTCTTTATTCTACCTTGATTAGTTCCTCAGCCTAGTTTGTCCTGTTTTTGAACTGCATCGTCTAGATTTGAACCATGTAAATGTGCTTTACCAACAGCATTTCATCAGCATTTTATTAGCAAATCCACCATGTGCTATCAAATGTTTCATGAGATGTTTCATTTCTTATTTGTCTTCTAAGCCAACATTAAAAGCAAAGTTTTGCTTGGGTTTTTGTTGTTCTTTTCTTGTTTTTTCCAAGTGGCCCCTGCAAATCCATGGAACCACCTGACCATTCCCTCTTGAAATCACATAGAAAACCTAACAAAAATACCCTGTCTCAGTCCTTTCTTCTTCCACTGTCCCTAGGAAGTGGGCTGGGTTGAGGTGTCTTCACATGGATCTAGCTGCATTCTGAGGGCACCGATTTTATGCAGATACCAGAGTTGGAGAAATTCCTCGGGCATGGCATGGAAGCCAGAAAAGGGTAACACGTTGTCATAGTAGTGGTGGCTGATGGGCTGCTCACGCATATTGATGGAAAAGGGCCAGAAGCCATAGATGGCCACCTCTTCACAGAGGCCCAGAGCTGCGCTCACCAGAAAAAGTCCCGTGGACAGGCGCTTGGCATGGATTCCCCTACTTTTCCAGAACTTTCCAATGTTACGCAGAAAGTTGGGGTTGGCAAAGAGCACTGTTTGATTGGCACCGACATCTGACAGTGTGTAATATACCCGCAGGGATGGCTCTGTTCCTGTCTTCATAGAAAAGGCAGGCATGTAGATGTAACTGTGGTTATAGACTTTCATGTTGTCCACAAATGTCTTTCTGGACCACAGTAGGTTCTGAAACCTATTAAAGAGAAAAAGAGGCTCCATTAAACCTGGAGAAAAAGAAACTCATCAAAACCCATTCTACTATCTTCCGATGGCCCTAATAGCTCAAACCATCTCAGCAAAACACATGAAAAACACCTCACTTGCATTTAAAATCCTCCTTGAACTTACCAAGTATCTCACACCAAGTACTCTGGCTTTCCCTGACACCAACACCTTAAATTCAGGTTAACGTTCCTCAATAGGGCTGCCTTATGACTAAAATGCATCGTACATCTTGTTCTCTCCCATAATACGCTTGCCTGGAAGGTAAAATGGTTTAGTTCTCATGAATTCATAAAGGTTGTTGGCTGGGATTTTGAAAAAAGCTACCTGTGTGGTCTGTAAGTACAGAACTGGTTTCCTCATCTGCAAATCAAAGAAATCACTTCCAAGACACCTATTTCCACTGAAATTCTGTGATTTTTATAAGTGTTTAGATTGAACAATGCCACATGATAACTATAATATTACTTGGAGAAAGAAAAACTCATTACTGTTATAAAATGATGCAGGGAGTTACCATATGGCTTGCTCCAAAGAACTCTATATTCTTATGTTCTTTCAGTTTGGAGTACATAAAGAGAGGATCTCTGGTTTAAATGTATTCAACTAAAATTTATGGTATATATCCTAGGTGTCAGACATTGGGCAGTTAAAAAATTAATGACCCAATTTTTTTTATTAAACTAGTATTTTTTTTAAATTTTTTTTCAGCATATTACAGGGGTACGAATGTTTAGGTTATGTATATTGCCCTTGCACCACCAGAGCCAGAGCTTCAGGTGTGTCCACCCTCCAGACAGTGAGCACTGCACCCAATATGTGTGTGTATATCCCCATCTCCTCCTCCCCCTCCCATCTGTCAGACACCCAGTGAATGTTATTACTATATATGCACTTAAGTGCTGATCAGTTAATACCAATTTGCTGGTGAGTACACGTGGGGCTTGTTTTTCCATTCTTGGGATATTTCACTTAGTAGAATGGGTTCCAGCTCTATCCAGGATTATATAAGAGGTGCTAGATCACCATTGTTTTTTGTGGCTAAGTAGAACTCCATGCTATACATATACCACATTTTATTAATCCACTTGTGGATTGATGGGCACCTGGGTTGTTTCCACATATTTGCAATTGCAACCCTATCAAACAGTGGGAAAAGGACATGAACAGCAACTTTTCAAAAGAAGATAGACTAATGGCTAACAAACATATAAAGACCCAATTTCTGGTCTTAAGAAATTCAAGTCCAGTTTTAGAAACAAAAACACAAATGAGTACAATATAATGCTCTACACGCAATATTGATATTTGCATAAAGCATTATGGAATGCAGATGAAAAAGATAATTCTGCCTTGAAAGAGGGAGTGGGGGTCTGGGAAAGCTACAGAAAGGGGATAACATTTAGATACACTTCTTTAGGCAAACAACAGAAAGAACAGCAGCTAAGCTCAAAGGGCCACTTTGGTCACAGGCAAGAGTGTATAGTGCACTGAAACAATGAAGAGGATTCGTGTCCCTGGAATGTGGGAGATGGGAATGGTGGGGGCAGTGGTTGAAGATAAAGGCATGCTGCGAAAAACCTTTTATGTGTCTCTTATTTGTGATTTGGATGTCACTCTGTCCTGGTGGGGAACCTTAGTGACTACTTACAACACTTTTGACAGCTGTCAGTAGAAAGGTACTCTAGTCCTATAGAAGATGATCTGGGAAGAAAGAGGCTTGGGAGCCTGGGGATCGATATAGAGAATGGTGATAGACTCAAGTAAACAAAAAAATAAAAGGACAGTGAACTAGACTAGGGCCTTGCAACTTTTGACTTCTCTCACACAAGAGGAGCTGCCTGTCTCTGGTCGTGTGTAGGAACAGCAGCATCATCAAAGAATGCAACCAAACTACAACTAGCAGACGGATGTCTGGCCTGGTATGTCAGCAGCTTCATCATACATATTTGAAATTAAAATTCTGAATACACAAATTCACAGGACTGCATGTAGTAAGCAGTGTTATTTACTCTGCATGCCCAGAGAGGTGTGTTTCTCAAGCCCAGAAGGAAGGGAAATCTTTGAAGTTTTCTTCATGTCCTTGAGCCAGCAGCCTGCTTTAGCAATTTTCCCTGGGCCCTGACAAATAGAGAAGTGATAATAGGGTTTTTAGGCAGAATGACTTTACCCTAGAAGAAGTTGTAGAATCATATTGCAACCGTAGGTTGGAGCTGGGCCAGCCTCTCCAATACCAATTCCTGCTTCCCAACATCAAAATGAGCTCCGCTCAGCAATTCTTTTCTTCCCTCCATTGCCCACCCATATCTTCTGCCCTCTTCCTAAAACACTGATACTTTCCCAGTCATGTAGACAAACCATGCAGATAACTTCCTATTCCATTTGAGCTTTGGTTAGAATAATGGGGAGAGTCACTAATATCATAGCTTCCTGCATTCTGGTAAGAGTGATCCAGGAGGCTGGAGTTTTATCTAGCACTCTTGGATGATTCTGATACTGGTGTCTAAGAGATATACTTTATTCAGAAGATCAAAGCACCAATGTATGCTGTCTGTCTCTCTGCATCTATCCTTCCACACCTTTTTCTTTATATCTTCTAATTTGATTCTTGTTGCCATTCTAAGACACAAGTGTTACCTCTTCCCCTTTGTATCTTGAGACACGCTGTTTTACACTTTCTAAAGAATTCATATTCTAAGTGTGTCTCCCCTCTTTAAAACATTCTGCCTCTTCATCTCTACTGAATTAAACCCTTCTGTCTTCTAACATGGTTAGAACTTTCCCCCCTAGCTTTACTGAGGTATATTTGACAAATAAAAATTGCGTATATTTAAGGTGTACAGCATGATGCTTTGATATACATATACAATGCAAAATGATTGCACAATCAGGTTAGAATTTAACAAAAGAAAATTCTTAATATGCCCATACTGTTCTCAGAGCTGCACTCTAGTTCTCCCATTTTACGATCCACATTCTCGAGCAGTTAGTATATTCCTACTGGCTTCCTTTCTTTCTTCCATCCCTCCTGTTGCTGTGCAGAATGGCTCCCACTCCACAGGGCTCTGCTGGCTGATGGAATTGATCCCTATATCTGTAGGGGACTACATGCTAGTGGAGAATCACAGACAGCTTCAATAAAATCAGGACAAGTGATTTTGTGTTCCCTGACTTAAAGCTCCCTGATTATTCTTAAAAGAGGTAGTTTTCCCTCCTTGAGTTTTAACTGAAAAGGGGCACACATCTTGAATTTACTATAGGCTTAATTTTACTGGCACTGTTAAAGAACCAACCTACAGATCATATTTTATTATTTTTACCTACCCCATTCTTCAACAAATGATATTAAGAACTCAACTCAAATCAATAACTGGTATACTTAAGATAGTTAATGTTATCCTGATCAAGAGTTTAATGGGGCGAACATGGAATTTTACTAAATTATTGCAAAGTTCAACTAGAATTATAAAAGAGTGGTGCTCCAGCTCATCTCTCCAGCCTCAAACTCAGAAACTCAGCTACTCCCCATCCCCTCACCCTATGCTCTAGCCATGCCTGTATGTGCAACTTTCCACATAGTTTTCACATGTATGGATTTATTTTCACTCATTCATTCATTGCCCTGTGAAGTTCTGCCTCTAATTCAAGACCTCACTTAAGCTTTTCTTTATTAAGCTATTCCTTCCTTCCAACTAAGCTTTAAAAATATTCTTCTTTGAATTCCCCAATATGAATTGTTCATACCCTTCAAGATTACATACTCTTTGAAGACAAGGGACGAGTCTTATGCATCCTTTAATTTTTATAATCTAGCTCTGAATAGTTGTATACTGTATGAACAGAAAACAATTAAGTAATAATTGAAAAAGAAAAAATGAAGCCCAATAAGCTTATGAATTAAAAAGAAATTAAATCACATCAGCCTATGAATTATTAAAAAGAAATGATTAATATATAATGAATATGGGCATAAAGAAAAACCATAACAGAGTAGAAAGCACAGAAATATAGCAGATTTTACAAATGAATTGAGTAGGCAATAATGGCGGTAAAACCAATAAAATTTTAAAAATTATTTAATAAAATATATTGAAATAGCTAGCTAACAATTTGGAAACATAAGAGAAATAGATTCATATATTACAAAAAATTACAAAATAATTTCAAGATAAGTAAGAAATATTTGAAATCTACATTACAAAAAAACTAAAAACAACTGTGAACTTATCACACATTTGTAAAATATCTTTTAACAAAAGAAAATATTGACAAAACTGATTATGACAAGATGTAAATTTCATTACCATGAAAATAAGATATGTAAAATAAAAAGGGAATTACTCTGAAAAATATTTATAGAAAATATGATAAACGGAAGATTAATATTGATGAAACTACAGAGTTCTAAATATATGGATTTCACAATGGACAAAAACAATCTAAAAGGAAATTTCAATTAAAAATGCTAAGGCATTCAGTTCCAGGTTGCCAGTTAAGATGTAAACTGAAAGAATAAGAAAAGGGTGAAAGTCCAGTTCTCACCTCCTCCTATGTGAAATCTCTAGAAATACGAAAAAAGATATTCTTAAAAATCCATATCTATTCCGAAAAAGGAAAACAAACCACACCCTCAGTGGATCCCAAATCTGGGATACCTCTGAAAAACAGAAAGCTTACCAAAGGAAACCAGAGCGTGAACTAAACTTGCTGAATATTTCTCCAAAAGGTAGCAGGAGATACTGGGAAAGATCAATGTCTTTGAATCATCAGGTTATTGTTCAGATTACAGGGTAGCAAAGATACCCAGGTGGGGTGAGCCCTAAAATCTTGCACTGGTCAATTATCATTGTGTGTGGGTAATGGTGTCAGTCTCCAGGTAGGAATAGTGGCTGGGAATTCTTCTCAACTCATACAATACTGGCAGTCAGGCTCACAGTTCCCAAGTGGAACAGTGACACTGACTGGCCTGCA